AATGCTACACCTCTGTATCAGTAGTTCTTAACTTTATTAGACTCAAAACACTCCTCAGAAAATGCCATTTTTTAGCTTTGACTTGTTTTTTGACTATGGAAAAATAATACAGCAATTCTTCTGTTGCAAAGGACCCAGAAAGAACCCAACACATCAATATATTTTGGACCCTATGGATTCCTGTTTGAAATCTCTGGGTCTATCTTGTGATGCACGTGTAGAGGTTTGCACACCTAGCAGTGATAATACTCCACAGTACCGTGTAGCACACTTAACAGGATATTGTAGCACATCATGGTGCTATAGCACTCTGACTGAGAATCACTGCTCTACGCATTGCAAAAAAATGCTAACTATAATTTTATAATCTGAAAATAACTATTTAAACAAATACTGTAGAGGAAATTGTTTTGTAATGCCTTCTATGGTCATGTTTTATATTATAGCATTCTATGTTTAAACTATGTTGTACTCATCTTCAAGACACTTATTGTATTCAGATGCAGAAGAGTTATTCCTAAAAGGGCAAAATCATGCATTCTCAAAATATCCCAAAGTCTCACTGACTGTTTTGAGAGTTTGCAATGTGTCAGAAATACAGAAGCAGGTACAAATATGTTACTGCCAGGGACTTCTATTGTAAAGTTACCAAAAACACAAACATTATACACCATCTAGCAGATTCCCAAAAATGTACACACTAAAGTGCTATATTTAAACTGTTTGATGCAAAATAATTTCAATAAAATCCCTACAGTACTGATACTCCCGCTGCCTTTGTACACATATCTGCACCAGGAAAAGAGTGTTTGGGGAAAAACAAAAAAACCTTGCAAGAAATGTATTCAAAGCGCCCTCCTGTGGTCCAGAAAGGTCGCAGAAACCAAGTGATCTTCCTCATTGTCAAAACACAAGCAGAAAGAGGAAACTTTTCTGAGTATGGCTGTTTGCAAAAAAATGTGATGCACAAGAAGAAGCCTATTCAGAAATTATTAAAATTCATCATAGTTTCAAAACAGCACGTCTTTCCCCCTTTAACAGTTCAGCAATGTAAAATACTAATACAGCAGCATACATTATTTTTATTTGTGTGCAGCACTGTGAAAAAGAACACCAACTTCCTTACATACATACATACATACACACACACACACAAATATAAATGTATGTGTGTATGTGTGTGTATATATATAGTGTGTGTGTGTGTGTGTGTGTGTGTGTGTGTCTTGGCAGGCCTTTAGCTATCTGCATATCTATTACACTAGCAAACATGCTCTTGATATACCTGTCTGAAAATACTAGGAGTATAATTGTATGTATTGCCATACACATGCACAATGCTTTGCATATAAATAAAAAGGCAATATCCCTAACCAATAGAGTTTAAAATATGATTTGATAGAAAGTAGTCTGACATAAAAATACTTTTTTAATTGCAAAAAAAATTAACAACATTATGAGTTATTTACACCAGAATCTTGAAGCGGAAAGTATTTATTTTTTAATGAGGCAAAGGATAACTTTAAATCCAAAAGGAAATATTTAGAAGTTCGGTATGTTGGACAAATGCCTCGTCGTAATCTAGATCTCAGCACAAACTAACATTTTCAAATGTGTGTGTTCTTATTTTTTAATTTGATTGCAACTAATACATTGATCACTATGATTTTGCTACAGTTACTTTCACTTACGTAGGATTTCCTTATCTTGCAATGAAAATATGCTTCTCCAACGAATCAGAGTAAGAAAAAGACCACTGCCTAAAGAAAAATTACTTAGTAAAATAGACACAACAGAACAGACTAACTTCAGCTTGAACTATCATTCAGGAAGAAAAGACAGGTAAAGTAATGCACTAATTATTATGACTGAATGTGCTTACCTCTTCAACTGTCAAAGGCATGCAGATCCGGTACTCCTTCAAGAGCATATTCCCGCTGCCTTAATGCAAACCAGCAAATCAGGAAAAAAGTAGTTATTTCTGCACTCTGATCACGGCAAAAACAAATCACAGGAAAAAACTACTCAAACCCCTTGTTGTATATGTGCTTGACAGTGTGCTCAAAAGACCAACTTCTACCATCCAGAAGGGCTGACCCACCAAGAAGAAAAACCAATACAACTGCTCCTTTCTTCCAGTTCTTCCTCCCTTAAACTGAGATCATGTGAATTTCGCACACATACATACAGACAAAGAAGTCTCAAACATCAAATGCTATCGTTATAGTCAGACGTCCGTTGAAAATAGATTAAAATGACAATCCGTTTGCAGCTTTATCAAGACATGCCGGAATAGCCAAAAAGGGAAAGAAAAAACCACAGCCCCAAATGCTAATTTCACCGCCACCAGCAGCACATTGGAGCAGTGGCAGCAGCAAAGATGAGATGCTTATTTCCAAGACAAAGGCTTTATAACGTTTCCTTCCCAGGCTGGTAAACAAAGCTTCCTCCTCCTCACTGTAGTACAGCTGCTCTTATGCATACACCACTTCTGCAGTGAGGGGGACAGTCTGCTGTGGGGGTCTTCCCCACACCGACCTTTGATCCTTCTAGAGGCTTGGGTTTCCCCCACCAGAGCTCTGTGTGTGTGAGTTGGAGCTAGTCGTGCTGAGAAGCCTCTGCAGCAGCAGCCTCAGCTTGGGTGTGAGTGTGTTTCTGACATCAGCAGTCACAGCAGGAAGGATGGCTCCATCCGGCCAATGGGGAAATGGCACAGCAAAGAATGTGGAGGATTTAAACAAAACAGCATGTCTCTCTAAGAGTGCCAGCAGCCAGCAAGCAAGAGGAAGGCAGCCTTCAAGGGAATGCAGAATGGCAGTCAGGAACTCTGAAGGCGTCACTGATTGAATTCGACTGCAGAAATGTATAGGAAGGGTAACTAAGAAACGCGAAGAGATGCAGATCAATCTGGAGAGAATTCTGAACAGAAGGGGAATTAAGTTGTCAGATGGTCTCCCAAGGGAAGTGAAGGAAACCACCTTTGCTTGTCATATTTAAAAATATGACTTCACAAAATGTAGCAAATATACTATTAGGGAGGTTGTTATACTGGCAGGGAACTGTCTGGATGACTTACAAAAAGATCCGTTTGCAGCTCCGTGTTAGAAAGGAAACTACAAGATGGATTTTGTGAAGTGTATAAGAAGTACAGAGGAGGTACAAGCACAGGATGTAGTGGCCTCACCCATTTCCCTTTTGGTCAGTTATTATCAGCCGCAAACTGCAACTTGGGTAAACCTTTATATCAGTCACCTAATTTTAAACAGCCACCTAGACAAGTCAGTGAAAATATGTGCCTCAATAATATTTCAGCAATGAACTGCAATCCCTGTTTTAACAAACACAGCTTTTTTTACTATCTGGGAAGCTGCCTTCAGTAGATGGAGTCTGTGTAATATCCTTTATTTTCTCTATAAAATGTTCAGGGAAGTTGAATGGTGCAGAGCTCATCAACTGACAACATGCATAGGTAACTTATACTCTTAACTCCCTCCAAAACTGAATGGCTATATAGCTTCAGATAAGTCAGACGTCTGTAGCGCTGTAAAATGGGAAATACAATGTTTACATAACTCAGAGGAGTGTAGCAAGAATAATTTGAAAATATATAGTGCTGTATAAAGTGCTAAGTAGTAAGACAACAAGCTTGCAATTCAGCATTTAAGTCATTTACAGTAAAGAAATGGAACAATACAAGGTTTTTGCCTGATGAAAACGAATTTAGTCCTAAAACAATACATCTATGTCACAACAAGAGACAGCAAAGAACCTCGGCTGTTTATTGGCTTTATACCTATATGTATCCCTCGAGTCTGTGCAGTCTTAACCCAAAGGCAACACAGTGCCATCTCCTGGAGCAAATGCAACCCTTCTTCAACAAATTGCGCTGCCAGTCGAGTTTTTCCATCCACTCTGCCCTCCTTTAGTACAGATTCAAATATTTACATAAGGTATAGGGAAATGGACAAGCAGGGCCTACGAATTTTAGACAGTTTTATGCCTTTCAGTAGTAGTCTCACCAAAGGTTGTGCGGGGACCAGAGAAAACTCCAACTGATACTTTGTCATGAGATCTCTGGCAGACAGTGCCTGCCTGAATTTGGTTCCTTACTTTTATTCGGTTCTTTTTCTTTTTCATTTTTGTTAGAATGCACACCTACCTCTAAGTGTAAGTCTACATCTTGAAATACAGCACGCCATCTCCAATCAACTACAGATACTCTTCATTCAACTTCCAGTCTTGATCTAGGAAAAAATAAATGTTAAAGTATGACAAATGCTGAACCCAGATGGGAAATTTCACAGACAGTAAAAGTGCCTTTTTAAAGATATTTTATTGTTTAATGACTATTGCATTAAAGAACTGTCCTGTTGGAATCATACAGGGAGTCAAAGTGGGAGAAAGAATCAGTATTCTCTTCTCTCAGCCTTTCAGTAGGATTCAATTGTGTAAGTCACAACCTGCACTCATTTTCTTCCCCATCACTTTTAGGGTCTGATCTAGAGCTATTAAAGTCAAAGGGAGCCTTTTCAAAGCACTCTGGAACAAGTCCTTTCTTCTTGGCAAGCCATCACTCACTACCCACCTCATTTAGGTTAATGATAAAATTTAATTAAAAAACCCACAAAATCAGATTTCCAACTTGTACAGTTTTGGGGACTCAGCATTCCTCTCCAGTGGTGAACCAGCCAGACAGGAATATTCCTTAATGGTTGGGGAAAGAAAATAACCTTGATGTCCCTCTATATCCATATTTAACATACTGATCACCTGATCTGGCTACAAATTTGTAACTTACTGGGAGGAGGGTTGAGTTTCCAAATATTTTGGGAAAGGGAAGGCTGCAAATGTAATTAAAAACACTGCAGAAATAGACAAAATCTCTGCCATTGATGAAGTTTTGCATCTTAATCTTGAATTTAAATCATTTTGGTTCTGTAAATCTGTTCCTTCACCACCAAGGTTAATGGGAATTTTGCCATTGATTTCAGTGGATGCAGGATTAGTATTTTATGCATCTTATTCTATTGAGTCTATTTTATTTTCTTCCCTAAATAATCCCTTATTAAAATCCACTTTTCCTCAGATTACGTTTAAATGGAGAGCAGGCTACATTTAAATTGAGTATAGTAGGACAGCTCATTATTCCTCAGATTAATTTTAACTTTAAATTAAAATTCAATTGTACTTTTAAAATGTTATTGCCGCCAAAAGGATTAACACCTTTTTATCATGCGAGTCCTATAATTCAACCTTTGTGTGTGATGTTTCTCTTTAAAAATAAAGTGAAAGAAACAGATCCAAATATCCTATACCGCATAATACCAGAACACATGGTCTGTGCTCTTAGTACCAGATTCTGTACCAGTATGTAACACTGGGGCAAAATACTATGATAACCCCCCCCCCCCCCCCCCCCCCCCCAAAAGAAAAAGAAAAAGTTGTTTTAGCCCCCTGATAAGTAAAAGCAGTATTTGGCCAAAATTCACAGTGAGACAGTCTGTTAAAATAATAAAAGGGATGGAAGTAAGCCATTTTGACAATGGTTATTTCCCATTTTTTCATCTTTGTTGCCAAAGTATTTTTGGAAGATGGTAAACAACATGTTGACCATGTTTAATTTATCTTTTTTCATTGTCAAACACAATACTGCCTAACCACAAATGCATACTTCCCTCTGCTTTTGATGGAGTTGAAATTACCATAGTTATTGATATGCCCAGTCCTGGAGTCCACAGTTCAAAAAGGATGTTGATAAATTGGGAGGATTCAGAAGAGATCCACTGGAATAATCAGAGGGCTGGAAAATATGCCTCACAGGCCCCATATACAGGTTATACTTAAGGCATGATTAAACAGTTAATCACATCTTAAGCAGCCACTCAGTCACATGTTCAATAAATTAACAGCGTGATAAAAAGAGGAATAAAATACAAAGTTATTCCACAAAATATGTGCAATAACTTTGTAGTACTTTCCTATCCTGTCATTAATTGAATGTGTGGCCAGGGGCCCCTGTGGCTGGGAGCCCCATCAGCTGATCAGAGTTCCCAGCTGGGGAGGGCCATGTGCACCCATAAGCCTGGGAGTTCCCAGCTGACAGGGCTCCCTGCCACAGGGGGGCACATACCTTTATAGCTGGGAGAATGTAGCTGCTGCGATCTCCCAGCCACAGGGTACCCCACGCACCCCCGCCGTTGGGAGATCACAGAAGCTGTGGTCTCCCTGCCATGTGGACCTCTGGGGCACCCCTGTGGCTGGGAACCCAGCTCAGCTGATGGGACTCCCAGCTATGGGAGCACATGGTGTGCCTCTCACCAAGACACACTGTCTTGTGACCTGACCCAGGCCTCAAGCTAGAGGAACGTGCTTTTGCTGGTGCAGGTGGAGCCTGGGATTGGGCTCACCCTGCACCAACAATAAGGTGCGACTGGATCTAACGCATGATCCACTCAGTCGCACCGCACCTCCTGCCACAAACATGTGGCATGGCGGGAGGGGTGATTGCATGGATTGTGCATTAGATCCCACAGGTGTGATTGCGTGGATCATGCATTAGATCCCATTGCGTTTTTACTTGCCCATGTAGAGGGGCCCACAATACAAGATTCTAGAAGCTTAATAATGTGTACAGTTTAACAAAGGAAAACTTTTAGGGGGTGACTCAATACCAGCATAAATCTATAAATCATAAGTCTATAAATACCAATACAGGCAACAGAAATGTGATAATAATGAATTATTCAGTTCAGTAGACAAAGGTATAACAAGATCCAATGGCTGGAAGTTGAAATTAAATAAATTCAGACTACAAATGAAGTGCATGTGATGGCTATCCCTGGGTCAAGACATGAAGAACTGAACTGAGGATTGCAGAACTAAAAACGTGCTAACACTGCTTGAGATAGAGCCACGGTTCTGTTGTTACAGGGCAAGAGGGACTGTAATTTTTTATACCCTCTGTGGATCTGGCACAGAGAAAGACCTATGACGTACTTTCATTTGATAACGATGGACTCTTCGATGCAGTAGACCAGTCCTCAACCTGCTTGCCACAGTGGGCCACTTGCAGCTCTCAATGTGTTACGTGGGCTGCACGCACACAGCTTACTTCCTGCGTGTTTTGTGTCTGTCATTTGACAGTAATGCAAGCCTCTGAACCTGGGGAGACTAAAGGGGGCAGCAAGTCCCACCCTTCCTTCTGCCTTCAACCCCTTCTGCCCTCCCCTTGGGCCTCAGTGTTGCCAGGTCTTTGCTGAAAAACAATACGTTTTTAGCAAATATGACCATTCTGAGCTTCCAATACAATAACTTCATATTTAGATGAGACTAGACAGTCACCTTGCTGAGGTCACCTGACCCCCAGTTATCTTTCCTGCTTGGTGCAGGGGGCTGGACACGATGATCTTCCAAGGTCCCTTCTGGCCTTACAATCTGTGCATCATATTGGAAGCTCAGAATGGTCACATTTGCTGAAAAACTATTGTCCACTGAAAAAATACACAAACAAGTCGTCTTCTTATTTACTTTATATTGCTCACTGTCGCTCCCCAGTGAGTGAGAGCTGGGTCATCAAAATTGCAGCGTTTCTTTACGTTGAGGAAAGCGGTCATAAGAAAGTGC